TTTCGATACGCGAAATACGCGAAAAAATGAATTTATTATTAACATTTTTAATACTAAAGTAATTTTATTCCACACGATTTTACTGAAACGCGTTACATCTAACATGTTACTACTCTATAGTCTATACTACAGTAATTAAGTATTTATTATACTACATATTAAAGACAATTTCTTTTTTGTTTGATATATAATACGTATATGTGTAAAATAAATCGGGTTAATGTATTTATATTGCGTAGCCTGTTAAATAAATGTAAAGTTTTATGTTAGTATAACACTCACATTGTTTGGCTTCATAATTTAAACGTAGTAGAAACTCAATAAACTTAGCCAATTACCAAACGCCCTACCTTTGTTCTTATGAAACCTTTCTGGGGAAAGCGATTGAAAACGATTAGAAAAGATTTTCTGCTTGAAATACTCAAAACGAAGCAATTTTACTTATAAATGGGGGTACCTTGAGTTTAACTTATTATGGTTAAACAGATGGTGAAATTGCCGGTTTTTAGACTACAATCGTATATCAAATTTTCAGTTGCCCATATAAATAGTTTGTGTAACAATCATTTCGGATACATATGCTATTTCTTTAGAGCTAGTTATCTATTATCATATTCGAATTATTTGATTTAAAAAATCAAATATGTAGATTAGATCCTTAAATTCTCTTTCCGGGTTGGGTTCTTCTTTCTGGGTTTCGGGCTTTTCTTACCGGGCTTTTTTTTTTTCCAGGTAAAATTAAAAGCACCTTTCGAGCTACATTCCAACCACCGTCGAGAACTTCTTTGGTTGAGTTTTTGTTAGGAACATATGCTCCTGTGTTTTGCATTTTGGTTATAAACAGTTTGGCTAACGCTTCTTTCTTTAGAAAGCATCTTCGGATTTAGGTTTTTTTAAGATTTGTGTTGATGTGGAGTATGGTACATGGTTCAGAAGATCAAGAAAGAGCTTTATTCCAGCATATTCCTGAAATCAAGAAAGTGCTTTAATCCGGAACAGTCAGCATATTCTTAAAGATATAGAAAGTGCTTCAACCTGGAAATGACTATCATAGTCTTGAAGATCAAGAAAGTGCTTCAACTTGGAATGGCCAGTATAGTCTCAAAGATCAAGAAAGCACTTCAACTCTTTTAATGAATGTGTTGAATCTGCCTTTGGAGTTAACTTTGGCATGCCCCTAGATATGTATGTTTCATTTTGTACATATAGTTTCGGGTTATAAACATGTTCACTAAAGCTTTTTATTATTATTTAAGTTTTTTTTTTTACATTTAGGCTAGATCTTGGGCAAGGCCGTATATTTTTTTTTTTTATTTTTGTTGTTATGTATATAAATACGATTAACTGATGCTTTTTGCTTCTTCAAGGTAGCAGTATTTTATATTCTAGCATCGACTTTGGATATTAATCCTTGGTAGATGTGATGTCTAGATCGGGAATTGCAATGAATACCCTTTGGAGCTAGCTGTAATTGATGTTGCATGTTGACCATGATCACGATAATTGGGTGTTAGGGTTAGATTGGAGGATAGAGTTAGATTAGAGGGTTGGGTTAGAGATTATAGATGCTCGATATAATTTCAAAATTTATCTAAAATGCCTGTTGTATAGGAGACAACTTTTTGTGATGTTTGTTGCATAACAGCCAGATGTATTAAAAGATTTTTAAAAAATAAATAAATCGATAAATAAATAAATAAAAATGAAAAATAAAAAAATTCATGTGGAAGTTTAGAGATTGTACGTACAATATCTATTAACTGTTAATGGGTTGTAGCTAGGGCAGAGACGCGGAATTTATGCGATAAGAATTTGGAAGTTATACGAGTGGTAAAAACTAAATTTTTTTTAAATACTTGCGCTCAACTGATAAAATACTGATTTGTTTATGATTTATTCATAATTAATTTATCCAGAGATCAGTATCCGAAATTACATGTAAGGCAGCAAAATAATCCAGTTCATTTTTTTGGGCAATGCTAGGGTTGCTATAGACGGTTGAAATAACCTTGTCAAAAAGCTATGTACTCATGAAATAACAAATTAAATACTGTCACAAATAAATTTGTAAGACTAAAAAGTAAGCACCAAGCGATTTCTCACTAGAACTAATATGTAGTGTTAGTATAATACAATATAGAATACTCATTCCTAACTCTTTTAAACAATTCAAGCACCTAATATAATAAACTTTTTTGTAATTCAATGAGTTCCAACATTTATCTATACATTCGTCTTTTATTAATTTTGTTATTTGTCAGTTTTACATTTCGTGTGGAATAAAATTACTTTAGTATTAAAAATGTTAATAATAAATTCATTTTTTCGCGTATTTCGCGTATCGAAA